CTCATCCATTCCAGGCTGTTATTCCCGGTCCTTCCCAGCCCGTCTCATCCATTCCTGGCTGTTATTCCCGGTCCTTCCCAGCCCGTCTCATCCACTCCTGGCTGTTATTCCCGGCCCTTCCCAGCCAGCCTCGGCCGTCCCGGGCCATTCCAAGGTTATTCCCGGCCGGCATTCCCGTTTCCCGTACCAGGGATCCCTCCAGGTTGAAGGTCTGGGCGTTCTGGCACAGCAGCATCACGTCCTTCTCCAGGTCGTTGAGGCTCCGGTACTTGTGGTTCCGGATGCGCTCCTGGGGCAGGGGGAGGGATTGGGGGGGATCCCGGGAGCTTCCAGGGGGAGGATCCCGAGGGAGGATCCAGGGGGAGGATCCCAGAAGAGGATCCCGGAGGAGGATCCCAGAAGAGGATCCCGAGGGAGGATCCCAGGGGAGGATCCAGGGGGAGGATCCCAGGGAGGAACCCAGGGGAGGATCCCGAGGGAGGATCTGGAAAAGGATCCAGGGGAGGATTGTGGGGGAGGATCCCAGGGAGGATCCCAGGGGAGGATCCAGGGGGAGGATCCCAAGGGAGGATCCCAGGGAGGATCCCGGGAAGGATCCCAGGGGAGGATTCCAGGGGATGATCCCAGGGAGGATCCTGAGGAGGATCCCAAAGAAGGGTCCCAGGGGAGGATCCCAGAGAGGATCCTGAGGAGGATTCCAGGGGATGATCCCGAGGGAGGATCCTGGGGGAGGATCCCAGGGGATGATTCTCGAGGAGGATCCTGAGGGAGGATCCCAGGGGATGATCCTGGGGGAGGATCCCAGGGAGGATCTGGGGGAGGATCCTGAGGGATGATCCCGAGGGAGGATCCCGGAGGAGGATCCTAGAAGAGGATCCTGGGGGATGATCCCAGGGAGGATTCTAGGGAGGATCCTGGGGGGAATTCCAGATGAGGATCCAGGGGAGGATCCCGAGGGAGGATCCCAGTGGAGGATTCTGGGGGATGATTCTAGGGGAGGATCCCGGTGAGGATTCCCAGGGGATGATTCCAGGGGATGATCCCGGGGGAGGATCCCAGGGGATGATTCCCGAGGAAGATCCTGAGGAAGGATCCCAGGGGATGATCCCAGGGGAGGATCCTGAGGAGGATCCAGGGGGATGATCCCAAGGGAGGATCCTGAGGAGGATCCTGGGGGAGGATCCCAGGGGATGATTCCAGGGAGGATCCTGGGGATGATCCCAGGGAGGAACCCAGGGGAGGATCCCGAGGGAGGATCTCACAGGATGATCCCAGGGGATGATTCCAGGGAGGATCCAAGGGGATGATCCCGTGGGAGGATCCGAGGGGAGGATCCCAGGGATGATTCCCGGGGAGGATCCCGGGGAGAATTCCAGGGGAAGATCCCAGGGAGGATTCCCAGGGGAGGATCCCAGGGATGATTCCAGGGGATGATCCCAGGGAGGATTCCCAGGGGAGGATCCCAGGGGATGATCCCAGGAATTATTCCCGAGGATGATCCAGGGGGAGGATCCCGGGGATGATCCCATGGGACGATCCCGTACCTTGATCTTCTTGAAGTCGACGGGTTTGCGGATGAGCTCGTAGTACTCGGGGAGCTCCTTGCGGGACGGCAGCTGGATGAAAACCTCGCTCAGCTGCCGCCCGCTGCTGCTGCGGGGGGACAGGGGCCTTCATCATCACCTTCATCATCATTGTCACCATCATCATCATCATCATCATCATCATCATCACCCACCCCCATCCCCATCCCACCATCCCCGCTGCTGCTGCGGGGGGACAGGGGCCTTCATCATCACCTTCATCACCATTGTCATCATCATCATCATCATCATCATCATCATCATCACCTTCATCATCATCATCACCTTCATCATCATCATCATCATCATCATCATCACCCACCCCCATCCCCATCCCACCATCCCCGCTGCTGCTGCGGGGGGACAGGGGCCTTCATCATCACCTTCATCACCATTGTCATCATCATCATCATCATCATCATCATCATCATCACCTTCATCATCGTCATCATCATCATCATCATCACCCACCCCCATCCCCATCCCACCATCCCCGCTGCTGCTGCGGGGGGACAGGGGCCTTCGTCATCATCATCATCATCATCATCATCACCTTCATCATCGTCATCATCATCATCATCATCATCAC